TATATGCTGCCTGCAAGAGAATCACTTCAAATCCAAAGACATACACAGACTAAAAGTGAAGGGATGGAAAAAGATATTTCATGCAAACAATAGAGAGAAAAAAGCAGGAGTTGCAGTACTTGTATCAGACAAAATAGACTTCAAAACAAAGAAAGTAGCAAGAGACAAAGAAGGACATAAAGATAAAGGGGTCAGTCCAACAAGAGGATATAACCATTATAAATATCTATGCACCAAACACAGGAACACCTACATATGTGAAATAAATACTAACAGAATTAAAGGGGAAAATAGAATGCAGTGCATTCATTTTAGGAGACTTATAGCAATCCAGGCCTATTTAAAGAAGGAAGAACAATCCCAAATAAACAGTCTAAACTCACAATTATTGAAACTGGAAAAAAAAAAGAAAATATGAGGCCCAAAGTTAGTAGAAGGAGAGAGATAATAAAGATCAGAGAAGAAATAAATAAAATTGAGAAGAATAAAACAATAGAAAAAATTAATGAAACCAAGAGCTGATTCTTTGAGAGAATAAACAAAATAGATAAACTCTTAGCCAGACTTATCAAGAAAAACAGAGAATCTACACACATAAACAGAATCAGAATTGAGAAAGGAAAAATCAGTATGGACACCACTGAGATACAAAGAACTATTAAAGAATAATATGAAAAATTATATGCTAATAAACTGGATAACCTAGAAGAAATGGGCAACTTTCTAGAAAAATGCAACCTTCCAAGACTGACCAAGGAAGAAACAGAAAATCTGAACAGACCAATTACCAGCAATGAAATTTAATCAGTAATCAAAGTCTACCCAAGAACAAAAACCTGGACCAGATGGCTTCACTGCTGAATTTTATCAGACATTTAGAGAAGACATGATACCCATTCTCCTTAAAGTTTTCCAAAAAATAGAAAGGAGAGAATACTTCCAAACTCATTCTATGAAATAAGTATCACTCTAATACCAAAGTCAGGCAAAGACACCACAAAAAAAGAAAACTATTGTCCAATATCCCTGATGAACATAAATACAAAAATACTCAACAAAATATTAGCAAACTGAATTTAAAAGTACATCAAGAGGATCATACATCATGATCAAGTGGGATTCATTCCAGGGATGCCAGGAGGGGACAACATTTGAATATCCATCAATATCATCCACTCTTTCAATAAAAAGAGGGACAAAAATGACATGATCATCTTCATAGATGCTGAAAAAGCATTTGGCAAAATTCAACACCTATTCATGATAAAAACTCTCAACAAAATGGGTATTGAGGACAAGTCCTCAACATAATAAAAGCCATATGTGACAAACCCGCAGCCAACATCATTCTTAACAGTGAAAAGCTGAAAGCTTTTCCTCTGAGATTGGGAACAAGACAAGGATGCCCCCTCTCCAGCTTTTATTCAACATAGTACTGGAGGTGCTAGCCACAGCAATCAGACAACACAGAGAAGTAAAAGGCACTCAGGTTGAAGTCAAACTGTCACTGTTTGCAGATGACATGATAGTGTACATCAAAAAACCCTAAAGAATCCACTCCAAAACTACTAGATCTAATATCTGAATTCAGGAAAGTTGTAGGATGCAATATTAATACATAGAAATCTGTTGCATTCCTATACACTAATGATGAACTAGCAGAAAAGAAATCAGGAAACAATTCCCTTCACAATTGCATCAAAAATAATAGAATACCTAGGAATAAACCTAACCAAGGAATTGAAAGACCTATACCCTGAAAACTAGAAGACACTCTTGAGAGAAATTAAAGAGGACACTAATAAATAGAAATCCATCCCATGCTCTTGGGTAGGAAGAATGAATATTGTCAAAATTGTCATCCTGCCTAAGCAATATACAGATTCAATGCAATCCCTATCAGAATACCAACAACATTCTTCAATGAATGAACTGGAATAAGTAGTTCATATGGAATCACAAAAGACCCATATTAGCCAAAGCAATCCTGAGAAGGAAGAATAAAGCCGGGGGTATTACACTCCCCAACTTCAATCTCTACTACAAAGCCACAATTATCAAGAAAATTTGGTACTGACACAAGAATTCACCCATAGTTCAATGGAACAGAATAGAGAGCTCAGATATAAACCCACACATACATGGCCAACTAATACATGATAAAGGAACCATGGACATACAGTGGGGAAATAACAGCCTCTTTAACAGCTGAATTTGGAAAAACTGGACAGCTACATGTAAGAGAATGGAACTTGATTACTGTCTACCTCTATACACAATAGTTAACTTGAAATGGGTCAAAGATCTGAATGTAAGTCATTAAACCATAAAACTCTTAGAAGAAAATATAGGCAAACTCTCTTGAATATAAACATGAGCAACTTTTTCATGGGCATATCTCTTCCTGCAGGGGAAACAAAAGCAAAAATGAACAGGTGGGACTGTATCAAACTAAAAAGCTTCTGTTCAACAAAGGATACCCTCAGTACAGTAAAAAGGCATTCTACTTTATGGAAGAATATATTTATAAATGACATATCTGATAAGGGGTTGACACCCCAAATATATAAAGGTCTTATATGGCTCAACAACCAAAAAGCAAATAACCCAATTAATAAATGGGCAGAGAGTCTGAACAGACACTTCTCCAAAGATGAAATTCAGATGGCCAACAGGTGCATGAAAAGATGCTCCATATCACTAATCATCAGAGAAATGCAAATTAAAACCACAATGAGATATCACCTCACACCGGTTAGCCTGGCCAACATCCAAAAGGCAAACAACAACAAATGTGGGCAAGGATTTGAAGAAAGGGGAACCTTCCTACACTGCAGGTGGGAATGTAATTTAGTTCAACCATTGTGGAAATCCGTATGGAGGTTCCTCAAAAAACTAAAAATATAAATACCATTTGACCCAGCAATTCCCCTCCTAGGAATTTACCCTAAGGAAACAGGATCACAGATTCAAAAAGACATATGCACCCCTATGTTTATCACAACACTATTTACAATAGCCAAGATATGGAAGCAACCTATGTGTACATCAGTAGATAATGGATAAAGAAGATGTGGTACATATATACAATGGAATATTATTCAGCTATAAGAAGAAAACAAATCCTACTATTTGCAACAACATGGATGGAGTTAGAGGGTATTATGCTCAGTGAAATAAGCCAGGAGAGAAAGACAAGTACCACATGATTTCACTCATCTGTGGATTGTAACAACAAAGCAAAAACTGAAGGAACAAACAGCAGCAGACACACAGAACCCAAGAATGGACTAACAGTTACCAAAGGAAAAAGGACTGTGGAAGGTGGGTGGGAAGGGAGGGATAAGGAAATTAAGGGGCATTATGATTAGCACATATAATGTAGGGGCTGCACAGGGAAGGCAGTATAGCACAGAGAAGACAAGTAGTGACTCCATATCTTTCTATGCTGATGGACAGTGACTGTAATGGGGTATGTGGGAGGATAATAGGGGGGATGTAGTAACCACAGTGTTGCTCATGTGAAACCTGAGCATAAGATTATATATCAATGATACCTTAATAAAAAAAAATGAAATGGTGAGCAAGCTCAGTAATCCTTGAGGGGATCCAAAAACGAACACCCTCCTGGATGGCTATAAAGATTGACAATACCAAGTTTTTATAATAATTTGGAATATTAGGATTTCTTATACACTGCTGTTGAAGTAAAATTTAGTATTAAGATTTTGGAAAACCACTTGGTGAGATCTAAAATTAACCTTAAAAGTAGGTGTTTTCTATTATTTTGAAATTCTACTCCCAATGTATGGGTGCCCATGTGCAGGATGAGTTGTTAAAAAGTTTAAAAGATTCTCACAGTAGCATTATTTGCAATCACTAAAAACTATAATTTACATAAATGGTCATTAGGAATGGAATGGATAAATGACTAGAATCTATTTATTCAATAAAACCATATATTTCACTGAAAATCAGCAAACCTCAGCTACAATGTGAGTGTAGTATATAAACATAATTCTGATCAAAATGTGCTAGACACAAAATGAAACATTTTTTTATTTTAAGAAGACACATTAATTCAAAGGACCAAACACAGGTATTTGTTTTTGGTTAAACTTTTCTAAAAATATATACTTCTCTTAATAGAACACATTTACCTACTAACTTGTAACACCTAGCAAAGTGTACTGTATATAACATATGCTACAGAAAAGCTTGCTGGTTGAATGAGTCCATTGGTTGAATAAATGTTTTACTAATTGACTTCTATTATTCTAATTAGATGATCTGCTGTATAATTCAAATTCATTCTTTCTAAGCACTTTTGCATTTGGAAGGAGATGCAGTTAAACCAAAGGGAATAGAAGGAGAAAGAATTTTAAAAAATAACCTGTTTCAAATAGTATGACATTAGTCTCTTGGGAGAGGTCATTTGGAATGAGTTTCTATATACCAGGCCAGGTCAATGTTTCGATTTGGTCAGGGAAGGTAAATTTTTTTTAAGACTGAAATAATTAAATCAGAAAAGAATAAGACTACAAAAGATGATGTGGACACAAGTACCAGTGATAGACTTATATGTACCTGGAAGATATTGTCACAAACTCTGGTGATTATTCAGTTCAGTTGAACTATGTCATCAAGCTTGCTTCTCCCTCCTAAAATAGAGGTACTATAATTACAAGCCCAGACTGCTATGATCTGTGGCAGCAGGAAATATTTAAGACACATTTTTGTCACTGCCTTTCTTCATGACTTCCAACAAGGTGAATGGAGACTTTGTAAAGGCATTCCAGTTTTCTTCTCTCTAAGTTGAATGTTTTGGCTGGATATTACTATCTGTAGCATTTCTGTTATACTAACCAATGTATGACACCCCAAGAGACTTAGGGGTGATTAGTCTACTGTTCTCTTGCTACACAAAGAACTGAATCCAAAGTACTAAGGGAAATCAATATACCAAAATCCATATAAAGAATTCAAATTTTGTTCCTCAGAATGTTGAAGCTAAAACACCATACTGAAACTCTCCCCTGAAGCTTGAAAACAATAATCCTGTAATATGGAATGGGATCTATACAGGTAAGTGAACAAATTTATTTCTACATCGAGAAAGCGGAGACTAGCATGTGTATAAGGAAAGTGGAGATACCATGGCTAGGATCCTAACCTGATCCTTATCTACTTGCTCCCTGTGCACATGCAATAATGTAATACTCCGTCTACTGTGCAGACCTTTCCCCCACCCCCAAACATTCCGTTGTCATTATTCAGTCTCACCAAATCCAGAGTGATCTTGCCTGGAGCTGGGAACCCCTTTCGACCCGTAGCTACAGTATAATATAAATCTAATATTTCAACATTAATTCTGACATGAAAGGGATTTTTAGTGAGAGTTCTTGTGACTAGGTGTCATTCATGGAACTCACGGATAAAATCCTAAATGTGCAATGTCATGTGGTTCTCTATTTCTGCTAAGGAAATAAATGTAACATACAGCAGCATAAACCCAGTCACATATACTGAGGACTTTTTTGATAGCAAAGGTCATTGAATTAAAAAATGGACTTATTTAGAAAAGAATTCATGGATTCTGCTACTGTGTAGTTATTGAATAATAAGACTCACCTGTCTAGCATGACTTTTATGCATTTCCAGCTGAAACCAACAGGATGAATCGGATATATTTTCAAGGATCTTTGCTGTCATATAATTCTTCAAGACTGATGCAATATATCTTAAGAAGCATAATTCAAAGATCAGAAGACAGGCTTTGTTGTGAATACAAATCTCCTCTGCAATATTTACAGTTGTGGATGGATAGTAGATATTTAGCTTTTTGCTTTCTTAACATTTGTCAACTCTGGAGAATGTTAAATTTCCAATATGTTAAGCTCTCTTCTGCTTGTACCTTATTATGTGAAACAATGTCTAATACAATAGTGGAGTCATTTTTGATACATTTTATTTGGAATTAGCAAATTTTTATAATAACAAGAAGTTCTACTTCTGGAGACAAATGTATATCATACATTGTTGGTACCCCCCAAAGTGTTCATTTGATTTATTTAAATGGTTTCCAGATTTTCAAGATCTTATTTAAAAAAATATAATGAAAACTGAACTTTCTGAAAAGGCTTTGTGTCATTAAGATTAAATTAAAATCATATCCTCTCCTAGGCTCTATATCCTTGTCCTTATCCACAAACATCACATAGTTGTGGTTTTATCTTCAAATCTTTATGGGTCCAATTTATTAGCAGTACAGTGAAAGGAATTTTAAAGTATATATTTTGATGCATTGCATTTTTCATGGTTTTCAGATATTTGTGTTACTTGCCTTACATTTTTTACGACACATGACATTTCTTTATTTCCTATGAATAAACATCATGCAAAGAATAATGAGACTGTAACAGCAGAGTATCAGTGTTAGAACAAAATACGACTTTAAGAAGTACTGATAATTTTACTTATGGAAAGATAAATTCAGACTTATCTTTTTCTTTATTAATACTTTGAAACATCTGTATGTGTCAAAAAAGAACATTTAAAGCAATCAGGTGATAAGGTGTTGATTACACCAACAAAATCACATAAGACACTTTGAATGAAGAAATTCACAAGGCTGTTTTCATTGATTTAGAAATGAAAGCAGAGTTATCACACAGTGTTTATTTTTACCTCATCTGTCCACCAGAAATGTCACCATTATGTCATTACATATATAGAGTTAAATTCTTTTAGCAGCATCCTCTTGTTTTATGTGTCTGTAATTGAAGTAATTTCTAGTAGGTGGCAATATAGGTACCATATCCTGTGGCCATTCAGATCACAGCAGATGTGCCCGCTGGTAATGAATATTGGGAAGATCAGGGAAAGTGTAGGACATATTAAAGAACACTATTTTTTAAAATTAAAATCGTAACTAAACAAAAAGATGATACATAATGAATAGTTTGGGAAGCAAGGACTTTAACAATGATGTGATGTTCTGAAATTTGTTTCTATATGAGGCAATGCAATAAATGTGAATTTTCTCACTAAGATATATAATGTGTAATAGTTGAAGCCCTTACTGCATTATCTAATTTCATAGATTTCAATCTTGCTTTTTACCTATGTATCTGGATTCCATACCTTTGATCCATCCTTTACCCTTTGAAATTTGCTGCCTGTTTCAGCAGCAAAAACCAGTAACCCAGGACACTCAGTCATGCTTGCAGTAGCTACTTTGGGTCAGCCTTGCTTCACCCTCATCACACTACTCTTCTCCATTTTCAGAAATCCTGGCCCAGACTATTATATCTGCATTTTTTTTCACCCTCCTCCCTTCCTTTCAATTTGTACATTGATTTTGCTTTTCTAGGCTTAATACTGGCATTCTCTAAGGGTGCTGCTGAGCACTGTCCCTGGTTTCTTCTCTCCCAGCTCCATGAGTGGGATACCCAGCTCCAGTTCATTCTCTTGACCTTGGCAGGGTCTACTCCAAATCTCCAGGTGAGGACAAAGTTCTCAGTTGTTGGCTGCCTAAAACATAGTACAGCTAACACATTATGAGGTTTGAGGTTTTCAGTATCTGGCAGAATTCATAGACACTCTAGCTCCTAAGAGGGTTGATTGAGCACTAATGATGTGATCATACTCAAATGTAAATGTAAATATCTCCCATATTTCAGAGGGCTGGGGAAAGCTGCCAGTGTATGCTGTTACCACTTAAACATTTGTCATTTTTAACTCAGGAAAAGTACCTACACACTAGAAAGCTGAGAAAGATAGCTTGTTTTTCTGATGAAGCATTCTGTTTTCCAGCTTTAATTAAAATAGATGGCTTATGTGAAGATCCTTTTATTTATATAGAAAACACTGCTAAAATGTTGGCTTTCACTCTTTGAAAACCTTTACTGACCAGCAAAATGAGGCCAGGCTAACCCAACTTCATTTAAGTCCTTTGAAATTTCAAACATTTCAATTTCAAGTACTCTTCACATTGTCTCTCATGCTAAACTCTGTATAGGTTTGCATAATACAAATGAGTTGCCAGGGAAGAAGTGAGAATGACAATTGACCGATACTTGATTTCAATTCTTGAATCTGTCAAGACTACCCATTGTGAAATGTATTAATATTCATGGAAGCCTCTCAAGTGTAAGTTCAGAGACTACCGGGCTAACATTATGAGTTCTCTTAGAAGGTTTGCAACACTCTTCTGTGAAAGGTTCTAAAGTTATATTTTCAAGGTTGGAGGTTTGTGATTTACATACTTTGTGAGACTTGTTTTAAGGCTTTCTCTCACCCGTTCACCGTTATTTGATAGATTGATGAGTTTTGTACTCTGTGAAGCCTCCCTTTACTTATACCTTAAGTAGATTTCATGTATTATGCCCTCCTCCTTTTTAGGTGTTTTCTTTTACTCAAAGTCTCATTAGTTTCACTTCCTGTCAGTACTATTTCTTCCCATTCAGGTATCCAAGGGCAGCATATTTTTCCCTTCTTTTTGTCTCCTGTCATGATAGGATGACAATTATAATGCAAAAACTTTGCATACTAGGTTTCCCTCTTACATTCCTTTTAAAGATGTAGTGCAGTATTTCACATAAAATGAGTACCAGTAATTTTTTTCAAACATAAATAGATTGACCTACCTTTCAATATGAAGTGATGTAGCAGCTCATGAAATGTTAGTGTTCATTTCCCATATTGCTTTTCTGACAGAACATGCATTATACAGAGTATTTCCTGCATTTTAATTGAAAACAGGTGTTATAGATCAGCCTCAGAAGATTCTAAGTGTGCATAAATTCATACATCTTTGGTGAGAATTCTTCTTTGTTGCTAAAGTTGAGTAAAATGATTTGCATTTCTTTGTGGGAGGGGGTAAAAAACAGGAAAAGCAGTGCCTGCAACATGGTGAATGCTCAATAAATAGTAAACATCAACAGGAGCAGCCCAGTAAAAATTAAACTTTTAAATTGTTAAAAAATACATAATTTACCAAACTGTAGTAAGAAAGATTTCCACTCATAAGCATTATAAATAAATGAGGAAAAGGTAAGCAGATGATGGCAATCATTGCCAAATATGATGTTAATCATATTGGCAAAACTAATAGGAAGGAAGTTATATACTGCTTAGAGGAGAGACATAATAACTTAAGGAAATCTCTAGAGATCATTTCTTTCTTTAAAAAGGGAATACCTATTTATGTATGAAGAAAATTGATGAATCTACTATCCTTGTAAGAAATCTGAATTGCTAACTTGAAGGTGTCAAAGTTACCTATTTTTTCTAAGATTTTTCACCTCAAAACTGAAAAGTATTCAGATTCAAGACGTTATTCAATTTAAATAGAAACATAAAAGTTTCCCTAATATTAAGGTAACTGATGTTAAACATTAGACCCTTTAGATATTCCAAGATAAAATATTCATGTTTAATTTGAATAATTTAGAAGTTCTCTAACTAGAGACATGATTTACAGGCAGACCTATAAAAATATATTTTGCAAGATATATGATAACTCTACTTTATCCACAACTCTGTAGAATAAGCCAGGATCTGGAAAGACTTCTTTTGAAAGGAGATAACAGTTTTCTCTCACTCAGGCTTATTCAAAATCTTCCACTTGTCTTCCCACAGGTAGTTCTTATGCTCCAACCACCGTGACAGCCTCCAATCTCTTATTAAAATCTTCAGCTACTACCACTGTGTATGGGATAAAATATAGTATCTCCAAGATTCTTTGCAATCTGACCCACATCTACCATTCATTAGTGATAGAGTCTAAGAGGGAGGAGAAATAAATTAAAATTTTCAGTTATTAGGAATTTGGAGTCAAACTATATTGTTCATTGGTTAGACCAATTCTATATTATTGAAATGACAAAAGAAGACTAATTCTGAACATGCAGTAAATTATTTTAGTGATGAAATTCCTTATTAGGATTAGTTATTTATGTTGGTGCCTTAAAATAGGGCTATAGAATCGGCAAATTAGGGAAATGATGAATCTACTATCCTTGTAAAAAATATGAATTCCTAACTTGAAGGTGTCAAAGTTACCTATTTTTCCTAAGACTATGCTCCAACCACCATGACAGCCTCCAATCTCTTATTAAGAGAACTGCATCTGAGCAGTTGGAAAGTCTCACATGAGCGCAGAATGAGCCCTGCCTGCAGAAAAGTTCAGGGGAAGTTTTAGAAGAGGTAGGTTTGAATCCAGGCCAAGTATGTAGGAATCTAGCAATGAATTAGGTAGCGTGATAGAGGAAGCAGGTGGGGGTAGAACATGTGACTCAAGAGAACTATTGAATATTGAAGTTGGGAATGAGGAAGTTCAGCACAGCATGACTAGAACTCTGTTTTGAATGTATAGGTGTCTCCCCACCAACCCACCCCCATTTCCATCCCTGTTCTGCCATTCTTAATATGACTCAGTTCACACAGAAATGTGTTTTGACAGTATACATGATAACTTTTTTCTATGTTGCTGCAGATTATATTCATTGGTTGTTAACTTTTGCATGTATCAGAATCACCAGAGAAACTCCTAGAATTTCTGATTCAGTCGGTCGGTATGGATTAGGGCCCAAGAGTGTGCAGTGCTAACGTGCACACAAGTGCTGCTGATTCTGGTCTGCAGGCCACATTTTTAGCACTGCTGGGCTCTTTTATACTGTTGGAAGGAGACAGAGAAATCCTAATTCACTGAACTCCCTCTAAAGAGAATATGCTATGTATTAGAAAGAAATATGCATTTGGGGGAAGGAAAATGAGATTCCAGCCCGCGTGCTTAATAATATGCCTTCTAATTCAGAAGAGTCCTGTTCGTTAGAAGTCCTTTTGCTCTGCTGAGCTGTGGCATGAATTGCAATATGCATGTCTGTGGAGAAAAACTGGATCTGAATTTAATCTCTCAGAATTAAAAAGAGAAGAGGAATTAAAAGATCTCAAGAATAAATGGAAGGGAGATGGGCCAGGAAGACTTCATTCAGAGAGGGGAAGAGAAGCAAAAATAAATCTCTAGTAATGGTAAATTTAATGTGCAACTTAGCAAAAGGAGAACGTGGAGGGAGTTTTAAGAAATTAGCTCTGGGTATACAAGCCTTTGAATGATCAAAAATGTTTTGGGGCAAAAGAATTCTTTGCAAGGTTGGAAAATACTGCTGTTTGGACACAGGAATCAGAGGATGAGTGAGAGCTGATGACTGTTTAAAGTAACCTCATAAAAATGATTGAAAGAACCATTTTAAAATTTGAATTGTACCTTAAGCTAGAATCATGATGATTTTTCTTTGTTGTAGTTAAACATCTGCAATGTATGCACAACCTTGTAAATGAAATAAACACTTCAGAGCTGTCAATTGATAAGAAAGTAGAATAATAAATGTCAAGAGCTTTGGAGGCAAATACAGCAGGTAAGAATAAATATTCCTTCAAATGGTGAAAAATAAACAAGTTCCACCTCATTTACTATCCCACATTTCTAGAGACACATTAAAATCAAGGTCGTGATATCTAAGAATATTCCCTTTTATAGCCATTAATTTCCAGATTTATTTATCTCTGCTAAAATAACAAAGTATGACCTGACTGGTTAATTGGGCAAGAAGGTAAGAAATATTCTGGAAAAAAAAGTAAATGCCGGAAGTATTTGTTTTTTCACAAAGACTTCACCTCTTTTATTCTAACCTTAAAGTATATACCTTTTAAGGAAAAAAAACCCTAAAAATATAGAAATTAAAAATTGTAAAACCACCTGTAATACTGAGTATGGTAATTTTGGCATATTATTTACCTATACCCATTACTATACTCATTACGTACAAAACCATTTAAAATTCTTTTTTTAAAACTATGCTCATATATTAATTTACTTCTTTACTCTTGTGTTTTAGGTAATTCTCAAACAGTATGTTCTTGCAATTTATTGCTTTTATCCAAATCAAATAGATGTTTTCTCCTAAAGGGGAGTTTAATTTTTTAATTTATATTAAAATCTTGTTTGTCTTTTTTATGTATTGTTTTTCATGCTATTTAAAATTAATTTCATTAATTATAGGATTACTTACATATGTATGTCTTTGTTTTATGTTTATCTAAAACTAGAGTTTATGCAATAGATGTATAATAATGCAAGTGATTAGAATTATGATTTTCAAAACTGCTGTATTTTCTCTAGATTCTCTCCTTTCAGTGTCTATCATGTCTTTCAAAGTCATCATATTTAAGCTTATTATCAGTCTATTTCCCAAATTGCAGATTTGGCTTTGTGTTTGTTTGATTCTGTTCTCTCTCAACTCTTATAAATATATTTTCTGCTTTCATCTGTCATTTCTTAGCATTTGTTGCTTCTTTATACTAGTTCTCTTTTCATTTAACTTTAATATTTTATTTCACACACACTTTTTTAATATTTCTGTGAGTATTTTTACATGCCCTCTTGTTTTTCATAGTAAATATATTTTTATAGGTTTACTTCCCTTCTGCTTATTTTAAGAAAATGAGTCCATGCTTTTATGTTTGAGAATATTTTATAGGGCTCTATATTGTTTCTTTTTTTATCCATCCCACCTGCTCCTGGTTTATACAGTCTTGAAGCAGTAGAGATCTGTTTTGACCAAGAGATTTCTGTGTTCTGTGTTTGCACAGATCTTCACTTCTAAAATTTTAAGGTAATTTGTTTAGATAACTCTTGGATAAGTCCTACTTTATATTAGGTATTTACATAATGCAGCTCTGCTGCCCTGAAATGAGAATTTTGCATTTTTCATTCCTGGCTCCTGTCATAATTTAAAGCAATCTATAGGCCCTCTTTTGCATATAAACCCCATTCTCTCTAGAGTGTCCAGCATTCTGCTTATTTTGTTTTTGCATTACATGACTTAACTCACAGAATAAAGTGCATAATCACGAATCCTTTTCTATCTCAGCCTGTGTTGCATTACAGAGAATTGTCTGATCTAATATTAGATAAGTACTCAGACTGAGATATGGAAAGTGGTTCTACAGCCACACACAGAGGCTTCCTCCATATCAGGAAGAAGGCTGACCCAGAGACTGGTGGCATGGGCACTACATTTTCAACGTGGAAATGAGAAATGAGGTTGAGAGGAAGTCTCCTATTTTCTTCTTTTCCAGTTGTTTTATTTCAGAATTCTAGGTATATGTTGGTTTCTTATAGCATCTAAATCTGATCCACTCATTTATTAAAATATTCAGTAATCTCAGTTAAAAGCAGTAGCATGGTCCAATGCTTGTATTCCGGGGCATGATGGCCAGTTATGCTGCAGCACCCAGAGCAAGGAAGGGTGTGATGCCAAAGGAGGCTGAAGGAGGTACCAACACAGTTTAACACACAAAATCAGATCTGGCTAAGGAATTTTCTCTTTCTCCCAAGAACAATGGTAAACCATTAGTTCCCAGTTCATTTCCAATGGGTAACTTAGAATCAAATGCAAATGAATTGCCTCAATATGTCAAGTTCTATGTGTTGATAGTCTTTGCCTACCTTTCTGGTGCCATGCATGTCATTTTTTCTCTCTCCTGCTCTAGGTTGCTTCTCTCAGCATTGCTGCTATTTCTGTTTCCCAAGATGCCCAGTTTGATCTCACTTTAGGGTTTTTGCACACTAACTGAGCTCACAGATACAGAGAGCAGATTGGTAGTTGCCAGAGGTAGCTGTTGGGGGATGGACAAAATGGATGAATGTAACCAAAAGGTACAAACTCCCAGTTATAAAGTAAATAAATCCTGAGTATGTAATATACAGCATGTTGACTATCATTAATAATATTACATTGTATACTTGAAAGTTGCTAAGAAAGTAAATCTTCAAAGTTCCCATCACAAGAAAAAGTTCATAATTGTGTGTGGTAATGCACATTATTTATTTTTGTCATTATCATTTTGCAGAATATATAAAGATTGAATCATTACATTGTACACCTGAAACTAATATAGTGTTAATATGTCAACCATGTCTCAATTAAAGGAAGAAAGGAAGGAAGGAAAATACCTTCCTTATCTTGCTGGAGAGAAAAATTCAGCTTTTTATCATAAACACTTGCTTTTTACAATTGTAACAATAGTTTTAACCATAATATTTCTAGGGAAAGGCTGGCTTACTCTGAATATACTTACTGAACTGTAATTTCCTTGGAGGAAATAAATCTTACTCGTCTTGACTTACCACATTGTCCAACATTAAGTAAAGGTCTCAGCAATAAAGAATTCACTAAAAAGCATTACATTGAATTGACCTGAGATGTTTTATACACCAGGAAATGTATAATAAAAATTAAATTTTACTTAGTTTGAGTCTATATTCTTCTTTGCCCTGAAGGTCAAATATAGGCGTGTTTGAGGTAGGGAACAGTGGAGGCAATGCTAAGAGGATCTCTTATCCAGATTAACAGTGCCTGAGAGGAAGACATACTGAAATCTGCTTGCATGAATAGAAGTTTATTGAACAGTGGAAACTTGTAGGCTCACGAGCCATGACAGCCTGCTTGGGAAACATAGGAACGCACCCCCTGAAGTTTAGAAACACCCACATTTTTTCACTATTGTAAATAATCTCATTATATTTTTGTTCATTTTATGATAATTTACCCTCAGCATAAATACCTTTCAGTAGAGTTGCTCACCCAAAAGACATGCCTTTTTGAATTCTGCAGGAAAGAGTTAACAGAGAAAGCCTGAGACTGTTATACTTTAAAAGGCTTGATTACGAGTTTAAGATTTACCATTGGCTGGTATCTGGAAACTTGTATTTGGGGAGGGTTCCCAGCCCCTAATAAGAAGAATGATTCACTGTTTCTAAACTGCTTATATAAACAATACAGTTTATGCTAAACACCTAATTTCCTTCTGGGAGTCTGAAATTTTGATATGTACTGGGCAGGGGGTATGAAACCACAATAAAAACCCTGTGCACCTAGTCTCTTATGAACTCCCCCAGAAGACAATATTTCACAAACATTGTCACAAATTTTTGTTGGAGCAATTAAGCATGTCCTGTATAACTCCACTGGGAGAGGACTCTCTGGATTTTGTACCTGGTTTTCTCTGGGTTTCTCTCCACATGCCCTATTTTTTTTTTTTGCTGATTTTGTTGTTTGTCCTTCTGTGATAACAAATCATAGCTGTGAGTATAATTATATGCTGAGTTCTGTGAATCTCCTAGAAAATCACTGGATCTAGTGGTGATGCTCTTGGGGACTCCCAACCCCAGTGCTGATTTTCCTTCTTAAGAGATGTTTAATTCTGAAACATCATTAAAAGAGAAATCCAAAGCTTTGTGTTAGAAACAGTACTTCATGGTGTTTTGCTTCTCATTTCTCTTATTTATAGTGAAATTCAGTATCTGGTCAGATTTTGGAGATTTGCATATTTTTTATTTTCAATTTACCTGCTTATTTTGTTTCCATGTATAGTTGTTCTAAACAGTATTTACTGAATTATCCATAATTTCCACTGTCTTGATAATAAATAGTAAATATATTTGAGTTTATTTCAGGACTAAAACTTCATTTCTACTGATTTGGCTAGTGTTACATACCTACTATATTGTTTATTGTAATTTTTTCCAGCTAGTAGGCAACTTTCAAGATTTTCTCAAGAATTTCAATATCTCCTTGCTTTTTTATGTTTTAATCAATTATTGGTGATTAAATATAACTTAAAAGTTTATTTTAAAACATTTAGTAAAGTGGAACTAATGCTTTTGCATTAATATTGATAACGGAGGTAAAGGTGATGAACATAGTAAATAAAACCATAGGCTTTTGAATCAATTGTCACCATTAACAACACAACATCTGGGGGAAATATTTATTTTGTATAAGATACGAAGAACATATTTCCTGTGTAGGCTTATCACCAAAGCAATAATTCATTTTGTTTGATAATAACTTTTAAATTTTGTATAACAGTAGAAATCATAAAAATTATGCATATAGTTAAAAATAGTTCATTTATTCTAAAACACATCAGTTGAGTTGTACTCATTCAGAAAGTGTACTCATTCATAGGCAAGGTCTTTTCTCTAATTATGAATAATTTGATTAAAATTTTTTATTGTGTTGCTTTTATAAATCAAATCCAAAACACAATATCTGTGATTTTCACCTCTGACATCTTAGTATTTTGCATTTGTTTTCTGTACCAAAATACTGCATGAGACAAAATATTTTAGTGTGTTCTTTCTCCAAAATATTGGGCTTCGCAAAATTTATTAATGTGTACTAATGTGTTTGCATTAATACTCTCTGCTGTAACTAACTTGCTCAAAAGCAATTTTAAATGTGATATCTTACTGGATTAATAGAAATCCAGAAGATGATCATATACATGAGTACCATGACACATGATCAAAATGGTATAAATCATTTTTCATTAGGCAGCTTTAAAGTTT